TTTATGAACGTCGTGGGCCCGGGGAAAAAATGCAGGCTGGCTACACTTAATAACCCTGCAGACAACCTGAGACACCCGAGCCTGGGAACAGGGAAGAACAGAAACCAGATCAATCCAGAGCGCATCCCCGGCAACTGAAGCCGTGGCGCGTAAATAACGGCGGAGAGCCGCAACCGGACACAACACATGATGCACCTCCGGCCTGACCAACGAAGCATCAATAACCCACGCCCCCCCTCCGGAACGCAGCTGTCTCAGTCTTCACCAGAAAAGAGGGAGACTGCTGCAAACGAACATAACAATCACCAGGAACGAAAGAGCAGAAACCTCGGCGGCGCCGGAGGAGAGCATGAAGCTTGCCAACCCGACCTCCCTGAGGCCAATACCAACAGGAAAAGAGCCTTAGAAAAGCAATCCCGAACGGAAGGGGCCACAACAAACCGAGGCAAAGAGAAAAACGAGTCCAAAGACCAAAACGAGTCCAACCGCGGTCCAAAGACCAAGACGGCTCAGGCGGAGCATGAGCAGGCCGGAGGTGATACTACACATGAGACAACTTGCGAAACGGGGCGGAAGTAACATCAACACTGAAAGCAAGCTGAAGCGGCTCCGCCAATGCCGCACAATACGAAGCGACAGTATTCGGCATAAGATGACGATCCTGAAACAACCAAGAGAGAAAGGACAGAACAACCCTATCAAAGACCGAAGAACACCGACGCAGTGATAGGAAAAACCGGAAGGACCGCCAGGAAACCTCATACTGTCGCTGAGACGAAGCACGCAGGTGGGAGACCAACAAAGAAGCCACCTGCGCACCATACAAGGACTGATAAACCGAAGTCAAAAACACCAGACGTGAAGACTCGAGGAGAAGATGGAACCAGCCTCGTACAAGGCTGGACCGATCTGCTGAAAGAGGCGGAGCTGCGGGAAGACCCTCGGGTTTGGACACTGAGCAAGCAGCACCTGAAACCAAGGCTGGGCCAGCCACCAAGGAGCCAGAAGGACAACATGACCTCGGTAAGACTCCAAACGAGTCAGGACCTGGAGCAACAGCGGAACCGGGGAAAAAGAGGTACAGGTAACCCCACCTCGCCCAGTCCTGCCTGAAGGTGTTGACCCCGATGGCTTCGCAGTCGGGAAAGGGCGCCACGTAAACTGGGAGATGCCTCGACCACGCCGACGCGAAGAGATCCATTTCCGGAGTCCCGAACATCCGGCACAGCCAACTGAAGGAGTCGGCATCGACTGTCCATTCCGTGGAAAGGGGATGGAACATGGACAGGCTGTACGCCAGGACGTTGGACACCCCCTGGATATGAACCGCCAGGAGAGCCAAACCCCGAGAACTCAGCTGACGAGTCACCCGAAGCGACCAGCCCCAAAGAGCCAAGGATCGCATCGAACCCCAGCGGTTCAAACAATGAACCACCGGGGAGCAGTCCGAATGGAGCCTGACCATCGATCTGCGAGCGACTCAAATCCTCCGGAACGACATCCACACCGCCGTGAACTCCCGCACCGTGCTGTGAGCCCGACGGAAGGACAGACCCCACTGCCCCTGGCCGGCCTGGTGAGCACTGGTCACAAAACCTTAGCCAAGAGACGACGCGTCCGTGTACACATCGAGCGAGGGCTCGGGAAGGCGCCAAGGCACCGAACCCCGAAAAACCCGAAGAGGAAGCCAGCGACGCAGCAATTGACGCAAAGCCCCTGGAAGTCGAACCCAACGATCGTGAGAGAAGTGGAAGGGGTCCGCCTCCGAAGGAACCAGAACAGCTGATGAAGCCACACCCGACCCGGCGGGTAGACCATCATGGCAAAGTTCAGGCTCCCGCACAAACCCTCGAGCAACCGCATCATGACCCGGGAACCCTTCAGAAACGGGCGAAGGCGGGACCGTAGGCGCAAGAGCCGCCGGAAGAAGAGACAAGGAAGCAGCGCGAGTGTCCCAAACCAGACATAGCCAAGACCGAACCTGAGAGGGAACCAGATAGGACTTCCTGTCCCATCCGGAGTGGGTTCGCTTCCTGGGATGGGAGCGAACCCACTCCGAGATGACCCGACAGAGCGCAGGAGAAGAGGCCTGCCCCACCAGCCCCAAACCCCCCGAGGGAGGAAGAGCCACCCAACGCCACCACAGGCCGCACGAAACGACCCGAAAAGCCCATAAATCGTGGGACCAGGCGTGGTCAAACTGGGCGAGCTGCCCCCCCCCCCCCATCGCCCCGTCAATGGAACGAACCGCAAAAGGGCCGACGCGCCTTGTGAGAACCAAGGCAGCAAACAGGGCGGACCCCACTCCGTCCAGCTACAGCCGGAACCGAAGGCACCGCCAGCCCCGAATCTGGCACCAAAAGCCTACCCCGACGAAAAGACCCCCAAGCCTTGGCACGACCGTAACGGGAAGGCCCCCTGCGAGCCCCCCGGAGCAACAACAACTCAGACATAGGCCGACAACTGACCGAGGCCGCCTGCAGATACTGCCCCCACAGCAGACTCCACAAACAGCAATGGACAAAAGGGCGAGGACAAACGAAGAGCCAGGGCCCAGGTGAACTCCAAGGAGGAAGCCAGCACCGCCTGACGACATGCGAGGCGAGAAACATAGAACCGCGAAACCGCATCACGCAGGATGGGCGCGAAGAGCTTCAACAAAGCAGACGACGCCCGCACAGCAGAGGGCAGCGCACCGGACCCAGCAGAGGCCCCAAGCGCTCCCACATCCAACTCGAGCCAATCCGAAGACAGCTCAAGGAGGGAAAAAGAAACGCAGAGCCAAAGCAAGCAGGCCACGACTCCTCAAATCCTCCGCAATCAAGGCAGTCGAGAGGGAAGGAACCTGCACGTGAAGCTGCACGACACCAACATCCCGCGGAAGGGCAGGAGCGAACAAACAAGCATTTAGATGCTCGAAAGCGCCCCCCAGGAAAATCTGCAACGCCAAAGAAATCTCTCGCCACTCATGCGCGTGGGACCGACAAAACGTGTGCCAAGCCTCTAATGAAAAGAGAGGACAGTCTGCCAACCAGGATGACTCCGGAACTTCATAACGAAAACCAGCACGAACCAGGGGATCCGTACAGGAAGGAACGCGGATCCATCATGAAAGCATAATCCGGGTCACACAAGAGGTAAGCCGCCAAGGCCTCCCGCACCTCCGAAGACGAAACACTGGAAGCTGGAAAGCTCTGGAAAGACAGAACCGAAGAACCCTCGGGATCACGGAACCGAACCCGGGGAGGGGTGGACACCAAATCCAATTCGTACGCGAAGGGAGTGAAAAAGAACCCCTCTCCCTGTAACACCACGCCCTGCTCAGAGGGTAGAAAAACCCAGGCAGGGTCCAATGGGGCCCAAGACCCCCAAGCCAACCCCTCCCCAAACAGGCAGACCCCCCCACCAGGTGAAAACAAAAACAAAAGAAAAACCCCGCAAGAGGACAACGTACCCGAGAGGAACAGAGCTGGTCGCTGTTAATGGTGAAAACTAGCTGTGCATTACCCAGCGCCCCTGCCAGTGACGAAAACTACCCCCTACCCAGAGACAAACAAGGGCAAGAAAAACCCCAGCTGACCCCAAGGGCGGCCAAGTACCAAGCAGTACACGGCACAGCGGAGGTAGACCCCAAGGCAACCCAGGGAAGGTGGCCTTAAGCCCCAAGGGCAGTACTTACAGGGCACCTAGGGAAGATAGCCCTAGGCGCATGCAGCCCGAGCACCGTGGAATAATACTCCAGGCCCACACACCACCGGAAGGGACAGTCACACAACAAGGCACAAAACTGCAACTGCAAACAGGAGCCAGAGGCACGACCGCACCAGATCCCATCAGCCTGAGAACTGATGGTTGGGTCGCCGGCGGTTGGGTCTGGGGCTCCCCCCTTCCCTCCCGGGGAAGGGGGGGGGGGGGGGTTGCGCAGACGGCGGCGCGGCAACATGATGACATCATGATGGTTATCTAATTTTTGTTTGAGGAGTTCTGTCCACCTGTTCGGTCTTCGGTCGCAATAGTTTACCAGAATAGGGGGTTTGTTTTGGGGAGCCTACCTTTCTGGATGCCTATCCTGGTCGATGGCAGACATAGAATGCTCCCAATCATAGGGGGGTCTCTATAGGCCACTGCTCCTCATGCCTCTCAAGAGGGGGGCCAGGTTCTGGCTTGTGGTCCCCAGTAGGCAAGAACTCCATGCATTGATTGATGCTAGAAAGTTATACATATCCATTCAGCCTGGATAGTTCCGGGTAGCCGAAGGGGCTCCCCCCAGAAAATTAGGGGTGACATGATAGAGGTGTACAAGTGGATGAATGGTCATAACAAAGGGGATATTAATAGGGTATTACAAGTATCAACACAAGAATGAACACAAAACAATGGGGTATAAATTGGATAAGTTTAGATTTAGGAAAGACTTGGGTAAATACTGGTGTGGTAATAGGGTTGTTGATTTGTGGAACCAATTACCACTTAACGTAGTGAAGGTGGGGGTTCCTTGATTGTTTCAAATGTGGTTTGGACATGTATATGAGTGGGATTGGGTGGTGATAAACAGGAGCTGCCTCGTATGGGCCAATAGGCTTTCTGCAGTTATCTTTATTCTTATGTTATGTTCAATACCTGTTGTCAAGTTGCACTTAGTACAAGGTTTGGAGTTTTATAGTAAGCAATTTTCTGTTTACATTCTGTGCTAGATTTAGTATTCCTTAGAGTCTTCTTATAACCAATATGAACTAATTGGGACAATGAACTAATAATAGTTTGAAAGGTTCAATGCAAAATCAGTGTAGAATGTCGACCTGCCTGCCTATTGTTGATTGTATCCAGAGGCAACTATGCTTGTGCTTTAGAGAATGACCTTGTCATTTTCCTCAGAAAACATACCAAAACTAATTACACTGTATAAGGTATCCTTACAAGAGATACCGAATTCATTATCAATTAAGTCTCTTGTACTTGTTTACTTTAATTCAGTTGTAACAGATTCAAGTCTAACTTACTTTGTATCATGTTGCTTCATATGACGACGTAAAGCAAACTTTGTGTTAAATTTTTTTTCACAAGCTGGGCAGGTAAATGCACGTGGACGTCGATGTATAGTTTGAACATGATTCCTCTGGACAGAGCGAGTTTTGAATGAGGCTCCACACACCTCACATAAGAATGATCTTTCTTCAGAGTGGGTGGCCTGATGAGAAAACCAGAGGTTCTAAATATATATACTAACCAAATCTTACTTATACAATATTAACAATGTTAAATTTGCATTACATTACAGTTGAAACCAATAGTATAAGATGTTATGAATAAAGTCCTCTAATAAAACATAATTTCACACACTAAAGAAATTTCCCGCAATAAATGGACACACAGTGGCATCTTGGTTAATGAATTTATTCCGTTCCAAGAGATGGTTCGTACATCGAAAGTTCGTGAAACAAAACAAATTTTCCCATAACAAATAATGTAAATTGAATTAATCCGTTCCACACACCCAAAAAACCAGCGTCGAATGTAATGAAACGCCATTTTCTGGGTGAGTCCCGGAGGCTCCCCGGAGCTATCCCAGGCTGATATGCTAATGTCAGACTTTGGCATCAGTCATGTGTATGTAGTTCTTAGGCCTACCGGGGACCACGGCCAGAACCTGGCCTCCTCAGAGAGGCAAGGGGAGCAATGGCCTATAGAAGCCCCCGTGTGGTTGGAAGCATTCTATGTCTGCCATCGACCGGAACAGGCACCCAGAAAGGTAAGCGCCTCAAAACAAACCCCTATTCTGGTTAAAATTGCTACCAAAAGCCAAACTAGTGGATAGAACTCCCCAACAGAAAACAAGCAAACTAGTGTGACGTTTCACGCCGCCGCACCGCTGTCTGCGCAGCTCCCCCCTCCCTGGGAGGGGGAATGGCGAGCCCCAGACCCTCCACGCCGGCTACCCACACCTCAGTTCTTGAGGCTGGATGTCAAAAATGCGAAAAAACCGCCGACCGGAGGGAGGAAGGGATGCCGGGGAGCCTCCGGGACTCACCCAGAAAATGGCGTTTCATTACCGTTTCATTCACAAGGTAACGAGCAGCCAGGACCCTGTTCGACCGCCAAAATTCCCGCGCCCGAATATCAGACCAAGACATATTCCCATAGGCATATATAGGCAGCAAGAGCCGCGAACTTACGAACGTCATGGGCACAGGGATAGACCGCAGGCTGGCTGGACTTAATAACCCTACGGACTACCAGGGAGACCCGAACCCGTGAACAGGGAAGAAGGGAAACTGGATCAACCCACAGCGCGTCCCCGGACACAGAAGCCGTGGCGCACAAATAACAGCAAAGCGCCGCAACCGGACACAAAACATGATGCACCCCCGGCTTGACCAACCAAGCATCAACCACCCACGGACCCCTCCGGAACGCAGCAGTCTCATTCTTCGCCAGAAAAGAAGGAGACGGCTGCAAGCGAACAAAACAATCTCCACGACCAAAAGAGCAGAAACCCCTGCGCCGGAGGAGAGCATGAAGCTCCCCTACCTGACCCTCAGAGGCCAAAGCCAACAAGAAAAGAGCCTTGGAAAAACAATCCTGGACCAAAGGGGCCACAACGAAATGAGGAGGCGAGCACTCTGTCCAAGGACCAGGACGGCTCAGGCGGAGCATGAGCAGGCTGGAGGTGAAACAACGCACGATACAGCTTGCGAAACGGCGCAGACGTAACATCGATACTGAAAGCAAGCTGAAGCGGCTCTGCCAGCGCCGCACGATATGAGGCGACAGTGTTTGGCATAAGATGATGGTCCTGAAACAACCAAGAGAGAAAGGACAAGACCACCCGAACAGACAAGGAACTAACACGACGAAGATGCAAAATGAAACAGAAGGACCGCCAGGAAACTTCATACTGCCACCGAGAAGAAGCCCTCAGGTGGGACACCAACAAGGAAGCCACCTGATCACCATAGAGATGATGATAAACTCGAGTCAAAAAACCCATACGCGAAGACTCGAGGAGAAGATCGAACCAGCCACGTGACGTACCGGCTCGATCTGCTGAAAGAGGCGGAGCCGCGGGAAAACCCTCGGGTTCGGACACCGAGCAACCAGCGCCTGAAACCAAGGCTGGGCCGGCCACCAAGGGGCCAGAAGGACAACTCTCCCCTGGTAAGTCTCTAAGCGAGTCAGGACCTGGAGCAACAGCCGAACTGGGGGAATGAGGTACAGGAACCCCCACCTCGACTAGTCTAGCCAAAAGGCATTGACCCCGCCGACCTTGCGATCGGGGAAGGGTGCCGCATAAACGGGAAGATGCCGCGACCACGCAGACGCGAAGAGGTCCACCTCTGGGCACCCGAACATCTGGCAAAGCCAATGGAAGGACTCGTCGTCGACCGTCCACTCTGTGGAGAGGGGAACGAAGCGAGACAGGGCGTCGGCCAAGACGTTGGACACTCCCTGTACGTGAACCGCCAGGAGAGCCAAACCCCGAGAACTCAGCAGATGAGTCACCCGTAGCGACCAACCCCAAAGAGACAAGGACCATATCGAACCCCCGCGGTTCAGGAAATGAACCACCGGAGAGCAGTCCGAATGGAGCCGAATCGTCGATCCGTGGGCCACCTGAATCCTCCCAAGAGCGAACCACACTGCCGCGAACTCCCGCACTGTGCTGTGAGCTTGACGGAAGGACGGATCCCAACGCCCCTGGCCGGCCTGGTGAGCACTGGTCACAAAATCCCAGCCGAGAGACGACGCATCCGTGTACACATCGAGCGAAGGCTTGGGTAGGCGCCAAGGCACTGAACCCCGAAAAACCGGAAGAGGAAGCTGGTGACGCAGCAACCGACGCAAGGCCCCCGGGGGTGGAACTCTGCGATCGCGAGAGAGGCGGAAGGGGGGACCCTGAAGGAACCAGAACAGCTGACGAAGCCAAACCCGACCCAGCGGGTAGACCACCATTGCGAAGTTCAGGCTCCCACACAGCCCCTTGAGCAACCACCGGGTGACCCGAGGGCCCACCAGAAACAGACGAAGGCAGGACCGCAGCCGCAGGAGAGACTCCGGATGGAGAGACAAGGAGGCGGTTCGAGAGTCCCAAACGAGACCCAGCCAAGTCCGAACCTGAGAGGGAACCAGATGGGAATTCCTCCAGTTCACCAAGAACCCGAACCCGGCGAGCTGGGAAAGAACCAAATCCCTGACTAGCAAGCAAGCTGACCGGCTGGGAGCCCAAACCAGCCAGTCGTCGAGGTAGGCCAACACCTAACACCTAGGAGATGCAAACAAGCCACCACAACCCGTGTAAGGCGCGTGAACACGCGAGGTGCCAGGTTCAACCCGAACGGGAGACAACGAAAGCAGTAACTCTGATGCCCCACAACAAAACCGAGCCAGTCCCTGAACCCCAGATGAATCGGGACATGCCAATAAACGTCCCGGAGGTCCAGGGACACCATCCAAGCGCCTGGCTCCAAGAGGAGCCGAACCTGAGACAGCGTAGTCATCCGAAAGGAGGGGCAATGAACCCAGGGGTTCAGACGAGACAAGTCCAGAATGAACCGCAGGTCCGCACAGTCCCATTTCGGAACCGGAAACAGACGATTAACCCATCTGAGGGACGACGTCGTTTCGACGACGCCCAAGCATACCCACTCCAAGACGACTCGACAAAGCGCAGGGGAAGAAACCTCCCCTGCCAACCCCCAACCTCCCCAAGAGGGGAGGGGCCACCCAACACCACCGCAGGCCGCCAGACACGACCCGAAAGGCCCACGAATCGTGGGACCAGGCGCAGGCGAACACCGCAAGCCGCCCCCCATCGCCCCATCAATGGGACAAACCGCGAAAAGGCCAGCGACCCTTACGAGACCCAGAACCCCGCACAGAACGAACACCGTGCCAACCAAACGAGGGAGGGTCCGAAGTAGGAGCCGAACCCGAACCTGACACCAGAGGCCTACCTCGTCGAGAGGAACCCCGAGCCCTGGCACGACCCTTCCGGGAAGACCCACCCCGGGACCCCCGGAAAACCAACAAGTCCGACATCGGACGACAAGCCGCTGACGCAGCCTGAATAAACTGCGCCACGGCCGACTCCTCAAACAGAAGAGAACAAAAAGGTGAAGAATGCCTAAGAGCCAGAGCCCAAGCAAATTCCATGGAGGAACCCAGCACCGTCTGCCGACACGCGAGACGGGAAGCATAAAACAGGGAAACCGCATCCCTCAAAATCGCCGTGAACAGCTTCAACAAGGCAGCCGACGAACGTGCAGCTGAGGACACGGTGCCGAACCCCGGGATGGACCCAAGTGTCTTCACATCCTCCACGAGCCAATCCAAGGACAGCTCCAGGAGGGAAAAGAACCGCAAGGCCGAAGCCAAAAGGCCCCGGGCGCGCAAGTCCTCCGCAATGAGCATCGCCGAAAGGGTAGGAACCTGCACATGGAGCTGAATAACGCCCACATCGTGGGGAAGGGCAGAGGCAAACAAGCACTCATTCAGGTACTCAAGATCGCTCCCCAGGAAAACCTGAAGCACCGTGGAAGCTTCCCGCCACTCCAGCGTGCAGGAACGACAGAAGGAATGCCAGGAATCCAGAACAAACAAGGGGCAGTCCGCTAGCCAGGAAGACTCCGGAACCTCGTAACGGAGCCAGAAAGGGAACGAAGTCCCAAACCTGAACTCGGGCGGATCCATTTCCAAGGCATAATCCGGGTCACGCAGGAGGTAAGCTGCAAAGGCCGCCTGCACCACACCAAGTTGGATGAGATAAGCCGAAAACCTCCGGAAAGACGGAACCGATGTACCCGGGGGAACACGGAACCGAACTCGGGGAGGGGCCGACACCAAATCCAACTCGTACGCAGAGGGGGGGAAAAGAAAACCCCACTCCTTGTAACAATAAGCCCGGCTTAGAGGGAAGAAAAACCCAGGTGGAGTCCAGCGGGCCCCAAGGCCCCCAAGTCAGCCCCTCCCCAGCCTCGAGGTCCTTCACCACAGGACCTGAGGTCAAGTCCTCTCCCCAAGCCCCGACCCCACAAGACAAGGACGGAGCAGCTGGAAAAGCTGGAGGAAGGGGGGCCAACTGGTCAGACCCAGAAGCTTCGGCCAGGAGACAAGACTCGAATGCCTCTGCCGTCCCCCCCAGAAGAAGCACCCCCGAAGCTGCCTGAGTCTCGAGATCAAGTAACCCCTGCT